TTTGTTTATTAGGGGTCTACATTTTTTTAAAAATTGCGGCCAAATCTGGCCGCAATTTCTGTTCGTTTAAGGGATAAGAATTGTCAGAGCACTTGCATGGGAGGAAAATACTTGGACCCAAAGCCATTTGTAAGTATTACCTATTCTTTGGGCACTGACAAAGATTTAATTTTCACTATTACTACTATTTTTATTATTATCAATAATGTTATTATTAATGTTTGTATTTTCTTCGTTTTCATTATCTTTATCAACTCCTTTTCTGTCTCTTAGTAATTGACAAATTTCCATGGCCATTTTACCAAATGAAAAATCAGGATTCGACTCAGTCTTTTTATCAAATAATTGCTTGAAATCCTTCCGTATACACTGGCCTACAATAATTTACTGGATTTGTCACATGATTCTGCATGCCAATTTCACAATTGCGGATTTCTCCTTATTTTACATATAAATAAAGAAAATAACAAAACGAATTAATTTTATTACTTTTCTAGTTTAAAATGCATAGAAAGGAGCTGTCAGTTGCTCAACGTGAGCAAATTATTGGTGCATATATTAGTGGTGTTAAACAAAAAGTTATTTCTGCTCAGCTTGATATTCCTACCAGTACAATAAATGATACTATCAAACAGTATAAAGAAACAGGTTTTGCAACACCTGAAAAATGTCCCAGTTGTCCAAAACTGCTCACTCAATGTGATACACACATTGTACAATGTATCGTCCATGATAACTGGTTTCCCCTCTTGGTGATATAACAAATAAATTTAATTCTCATCTTTGCATTATAATACAGTTAGAAAATATCTTCATGATGAGGGTCTAGGTAATTATGCCACAAAAAAAAACCTCTTTTAACAGAGAAACAGTGAAAAGATCAACTAAGATGGAGCAAAGAAAAACAAAACTGGGAAGAAGAATGGAAAAATGTGATATGGTTGGATGAGTCAAGGTTTGCTCTTTTTGAATCAGATGGCTGAGTAAGAGTATGGAGAAAACCAGGGGAAGCTTATAAAGAGGATTGTATTCAACCTACAGTTAAATTTGGTGGAGGAACTGTGATGTTTTGGGAGTGTTTTGGTTGGCATGGTGTCAGACCTTTGATTGTGGTGGAGGGAAACATGGATTCAAATGATTATATTAACATCCTTGCTGGACACTTTATACCATGGGTTAATAATTACCCTAATTCTATTTTTCAGCAAGACAAAGCTCCATGTCATACATCAAATTGTAGTGTTTGATGGATGAAAACACATGACATTCCGATTTTAGATTTGGTGGCGCAAAGTCCAGATCTTAACCCACTTGAGGATTTGTGTACCTATCGGATCACCAAGTATGTAAAAGAAAACCTCTGCCTAAATCAAAACAGGAATTAATAAATGTAATACAAGAGAAATGGGGAAAATCAGCATAGAAACGTTACATCATTTAATTTTAAGCTTACCAGATTGTGTCAAAGCAGTAATTAAGGCTAAAGGTGGACATACTAAATATTAGCCTGTTCATTTTAAAAATTTTAAATATTAATCATCAAATTTAGGGTTTTATTTTGAAAGCTTGTTTTTGTCAAATAATAAATATAAAAAATTTTTTTACATATACACAAAAAACTGAATTTTATATGTAATTCTATAAATAGTAAAAAAAATCATACATGTTGTTATTGAGTTCTTTAAAACATTTTTTTAAAAGATACTCTAATGCACAAGGCAATCCTCCTGTGTCCCCCAAAAGATAAAGAAATGGTCTACATAGCTTCCATTTATATTCACCACATTCAAATTTTTCTGCATTACATGACTCTGCAAAGTGATCTACAATCTTAATCATAGATGCCATTGATAACAATGGACATTCAACAAAATGAAATGAAACTCTAGATGGCTCCTTAGCTGAAATGACAACTTGTGGAGCTGTTCCTGAAAGGAATATTTGAACAAATGCTTCTAGTCTATTCATCATAAATGTTGCAAGTTCATTGACCATATCTTTAAAGAAATCTTTATTAAAAGTTGTCATATATTTTTTCTCCCATTTATCAATCAATTGAAATTCATCAATATGAAGAAAAACAAAGAGTTGCAGATTCTAAATGTTCAGCAATGCTCTGAAACACAGCATCAATGTTGAAGCATTTGATGTATGGCATGATCTTTGACCGAAATTCAATAAATGACATTTTATATTTTTCATAGATGAAGAATATATAAGCATTTCATATGCCAATAATCACTGATGAAGAAAGTCCATAATCAGTATTATCAAGTGGACATCCATTCCCAAAATCTAAGTAAATATATTGAAAATGATGTTGAATATTTTTTGTTGACAAAGTAGGTGGGTCCAGTTATCTTTGAATTGAAAAAAAAGTTCTTGGCCAAATTGTGTTTTACCTAAAATGCAAGATGTAGAGAAACAAAAACTTGAATATAAAAATTGTATTTCTTATGAATGTTAAAGAAGTTAGAGATAATATATTACCTATCCCTGGAGCTCCTCCACTGACAAGGATATTAAAATCCGTTTTTTGTTTTTTACCCAAAATGTTATTTTCTAAATTTTCTTTAAATACATTAATTGCCTTGGTAAAATCACGCTGCAATAATGGCATCTTAAAACCATATTCTAAAGTGGAAGCATGACCAACATTTTCTAAAACAACCTTGTCTATAACATCTTTAACTGAAAATTAAAGGAAATAAACATTAGAGATTAGGAATGTGAATGCATGCAGACACAATATTTCATGAATTATATACTTGTTTTAAATGCATCTTTATCTGTTGTGGAAATAAAAAGTAATAACAGAACAAATTAGTGAAAGTTAAAACAAATATATATGTATATAATTTTTTATGTATTTTTTTACACAATTTGTTCACTACCTTTTTCTTTGTTAAACTCTATCAACACCTTCTCCCAATCGTCTGCCTGCTTCTCCAACCTCTCTATGCTCTTCTTCAACCTCTTCTCCTCTTCCTCCAGTCTCTCCAGCTGCCCCTCCTCCCATTTACTAAGTTCTCCATTTCTCACCTTTCCCCTTAACTCTTCCAGCCACTTCCCACCATTCTTTCCCTCTTCAAACTTCTCCAACTCTGTTTTCGCCTTTGCCAACATCTCTTCTGCCTTCACCAATCTCTCTTCCGCCTACGTCAATCTCTCTTCCACCTTTTCAAGAGTTGCCATTTAATTTTAAAATTAATTATTTTTTTTTTATTGATCTAGAATTAATTTTTTCTATAATTTGGACCAATGATAAATTAGTGGGCACATGACTTGCAATTAAAAAAAATTTTTTTTACAGACGATCAGTGTCTGAAATTGAGTGCGGGGGTTTGTGTTACATATTGAATTTAGCCAATCAACGTTAAATTTTCTACCAG